ATGTCAACTTGTACAGCCATTATAAAAATCAGTACATATTTCTGCAAACAGAACTATGATATGACCCAGCTAAATCACTCTTGGGTTCACACCTGAAGTGATCTAAATTGCACATTCATGTTTACAGCTGCACTAACCTCAATAGTCAGGAAGTGGAACCAGCCTAGATGTCCAGTAGATAACTGGAGAAAGCAAATTTAGTACATATACACAACAGAATTCTATGCAGCAATAAAGAAAAATGAAATTGTGGTATTTTCAGGAAAATGTGTGCAGCTGGAAACTGTTATATTGAGTGAAATAAACTAGTCTCAGCAAGACAAGACACATTTTCTCTCGTATGGGGAAAGTCTGTGTGTGTGTGTGTGTGTGTGTGTGTGTGTGTGTGTGTGTGTGTGTGTGTAAAATGAAACTAGAAAGAGGATCATGAGAGAGGAAGAAGAGAAGAGATCTGGAGAGAGGGGGAAATAGAGAAGATAATGAAATACATGTAAAAAGGAAAGCAGAAACATGGACTATCTGGGGGAGGAAAGGAAGCCACTTGGATTGGGAAGAGGGAGAATGCCCAGGGCAGCGGGGTGGAGAGAATGATTAAAGGATCTATTTGAAATGAGTTAGGTTGGATTTAACTGAGCTGACTAGGATGTCCTGCCTTTGTATTGTATGTATTAAACTCCAGAGGTATGTCCTTGTCATGATAGCAAACACACAAAAGTGGAAGTACAACTCTGTAAGAGCTTTCCTAAAGCTTTTTCCTTGACTCACTTGTGCTAACACTCTAGCTAGTCACATGACCAAACTCAGCCTCAAGGGGTGGAAATGTGTCCAGCACAATGGAAACACATAATAACTATTATACATTACAGAAGAAAGCAGGTCCGTCAAAAGAAAGCTAACCTGAATTTGCTCTTCAGAATGAGTCTCATTAGGAATAACAGACTTGTGGGCACAGGCAACCGTGATGAAGCATTTAAAGTGGAGAGCACTGGGAGAGCTACAGCACCATACTCACAGAGGGCCATGAGAGTGCTCTGAGGACACATGTGGGAGCCTTTAGATCCCACTTCCTTCCAGACCCTGATAACAAAGGAAATCTCTCTGAACTATATGGGGCTCTTTCTTTTTCTTTTTAAGGGGAGAGATAGAGCATGGGACATAGGAAAGTTCCAGACCATGTGACCCAGTTTGCAGGCCTGGCCTGCATACTATAAGTTAGAAAAACCCTGACAAATGCAAAGCTGTATCTCGAGATTGTCCTTGATCCAGGGATCAAGGGGTCTGGGCATCATAGTATGAAATGGAAGGGAGACTAAGGAATTCTCTGTAAGATCTGTGAGGTCACAGCACACTCTAATCAACTGTGGGTAGCTACTACCTGAATTCTGAAAGACAAAGGCAACTAGAGGATCTGTAAACCACCAGTAATATGTCATAGTGTGTATACAGATGAAGAGACCAAAAGTATACACCAGCACAGCAAGAAGTCACAAACGTACCCACAGGACCACCTTGAGAAACAATCTTTGTTTAATCTATATTCCATTTATTTCTGTATTTAATTGTTCATCCAATTCCACATCAAACCCCACTTAAATAACTGCAGGACACTTGCCATCCTTCTTTCTTTCTATCTACTACTGTCACTCTCTTTAAATCAATTTGAAAGGTTGAAAGAAAGGCATGTTAAACAAGTGAACTCTAACTTCAAGCCCTTCCACATAAGACTCCTCTGTTGTTTTCCTGGCAGTCATCTCAACTATGCATGCATATTCAGCAAATACTTGAAACACACCAAACACACTCCTCCCACAGTTTCCCTGTTCTGTAAACTGTACTGTTTCTCACCTGGGTAGCTAAAACCTGACTGTTTTCATTTGCCTCCACATTCTATTTGTCAGTGAAACTAGATGATTTGGACATCAAAATCAAATCTGGAATTTATGGATAGGATGTAGCTCAGTGGCAGAACATTTGTGTAGCACACATGAGGCTCTGGGCCCCAGCCCAGCACCAATAAATAAATAAACAAACAAATAGATAAATACCTCAAATGTATTTCTGGTATACCTTTATCATATATAGTACAGCCTTACTTCTAACTCAACTTATTTCCATTCCTGCCCATCTTTACCAGCTAGGTCCCATGTGTAAACAGAAATATCTTTTTAAAACATAAAGCATATGGCATGCTTCCCTGCTCAAGTTCCTCTCATGGTGTCCTGTCACATTAGTGACACAATTTAAATTCCTGCTATTCTGACAGGAGTAAGATGGCATCTCAGAGTTATTTTGATTTGCATTTCCCTGGTAGCTAAGGATGTTGAACACTTTCTTTTGTGTTAGGGATTTGTTGGGCTTAAGATTTTCTTTGGTCAATGAATCTATTTCTCCTAGTGTATCTTCAATGCCTGAGATTCTCTATTCCATCTCTTGTATTCTGTTGGTTAGGCTTGCACCTGCAGTTCCTGATCATTTACCCAGCTTTTCTATTTCCAGAATTCTCTCAGTTTGTGTTTTCTTTATTGTCTCCATTTCAGTTTTCAGGTCATGGACTATTTGAATTGTTTCCTTCATCTGTTTGATTGTTTTTCCTTGGCTTTCCTTAAGAGATTTGTTGATATCTTATATTTTTGGTCTGTTTTTTTCTTTCATTTCTTTCCATTTCATTTCCTCTTTTAGGGTCTCTATCATCTTTGTGAAGTTGTTTTTAGGGTCATTCTCTTCTGCTTCATCTGTGTTGGGATGTTCAAGTCTTGCTGGTGTAGAGTCCCTAGACTCCAGTGTTGTCATATTGATCTTTCTGTCATTGACTGTGTTCTTATACCGTTGTCTACCCATCCCTTCTTCCAGTGTGTAACAGTGGGCTCTCTCCCTCTTCCGGTGGGTACAGAACCAAGGTTCTCTTCTGGTGGGTGCAAGCTGGTCCAATACTCTGATGGCTCTCCTCATCCAGTGGGTGGAGGTGGGAATAGGGTGCTGGCAGACTGCAGATGGGCTGGTCCACTGGGACAGGTTACTCTCTGCACAATCACAAGTCCTTCGGAATCTCTGAGGAGGGCACCAGAAGGCAGGCTCCTTCCATGAGTGGAGGCACAACCAGGAGGCTGGCAGACTCTGGACAGGCTGATTGGCCTGTGCGTGCTCAGAAGGCCTCAGAAGGCTTTAAGCCTAGACTGAGGATATTCTTGTCCATTCATCATTTGCTCAGTTTTTGTCTTAAGTAAGTATCATAACAAGTACTTTTCATGGACCTAGAATTCTCTTTCTTTAACAAATTTTTTATTGATTTTTTTTGCTTTAAAATCCATTTGGATCTTATCAATTTCAGAATAAAACACAAGTCAGTTATCATTGTATATAGCTTCCACTATTTCTCCAAACCTTCTCTTGCTATACCATTGCCAAAATATTTTCAGTGCTATGAATGCGTCAATGCTAATGTCAAGCCTCTGTGAACTCTCTGGAATATTAGCCTCCTGACCTTTCACTCTGAAACTTGTCCCAGGTATTCAATACTCCAGCTGTCCTTTAAATCTTGACTTTGAAAGATCACTTCTTTAGTGAAAAGTCTATCTTGTGATAAATCTATATGGGGTTCATGCTTCTAACAATGGCAATGCCAAGTGGCATGAAATTACTTGTTTGATTTTTCTGTCTCCCTTCCCACAGGTGATGAACAATGCAAGAATAAACACAATGTTTTGTAAAACTTTTACTCAAAAATAGGCTTTCAGCATAAATAATGTCTGAAGCTTTATAAAAAGAAGTCATAAAAACTCTAAAAAAAAAACTAAGACATTGCTTTGTATTATATTCTACTTCGCAAATATATTTTAGGAGTGACTAACATAATAGAAATAAATACAAACCATCTATATTATATCAACCCAATTATTACCATTATATATCTATGAATATGTTAACACTTAAGTAAATGTCAAAATCAAGTCCTACTGTGTACTGCGGTCCCCAAAATGATACTTATATATAATTACAAGTCTAAAAGTCACACAACATTATTCTCTCCATTTTACAAAAGAGAGGGGAATTGTAGAGCTAAATATGCAAACCTGGATATGAAAGCAGGACAGTTCAGTTCTGGAACCTACTCTTTTAATTTCTATGGTCTCTGTAATAACACCTTTACATACATGGTTCCCTTTCTCTAGTCATATTCATAGAGGTGTAATTATGATCAATTATGTCTCATACAGAACCAATATGGCCTCCATCTTTCTTGCAGAATGATGAGAGAATTCTATGAAGAGGAAAGAACTCAGAGAAAGGCCACTTGAGATGTTCATTGGCAACCAGTCACTCAGACACCAGAGATGACATGGTTTTACTAATCTACAGTTTTATGGGAAAACATCCTAGGATCAATTTTAAATGATTCTATATGATGAGTTGGACTTTGTGTACTCACACTATAGCTATAATGACATTGTAGCTACAATGGCACTACATGGGACTGTGAAAAACCCCAAACATTCATATGGAACACTTTGGGAGCACAAAAAAACTTGAGGGAACAAATATGAATTTAAAATGAATCTCCAAATATTATTCTTTTCTTTGTGGCAGTAGTGGTGGTACTACTGTTGGTGTGTGTGCGTACGCACACACACACACATATGCATGTATGCATGTACATAAATGTGAAAACTAGGGGACAACCTCTGGCGTTGTTCCTCAAGCACCATCTACTTTGTTTTATGAGACAGGCTCTCTCACTGGCTTGGAGCCTGCCAAGTAGACTAGGCTGCCTAGGCTGTGAGCCATGGGGACCAGCCTTTTGCCACATCCCATCATGCTTGGCCTTGTTACATGGGTCATCAAACTCAGAGTCTCTTGCTTGTGTGGCAAGCACTTTACCAACTGAACTGTTCTCTAAGCCCCTGGCTATTCTTCATGAGAATATGACTTCATAAGAATATCACATATCACTAAAAATTCTACAGAAGCTAGATACATTTCCAAGATTATATGAAATTAGTTACCTGCAAATGGAAGAGAATTTTCTTATGTTTTTCTATTTCTGATGTTTGTGATTGTTGTCGTTTTGCAGCTTGCTCAACAGCATCAGTTAATGAAGATGTGTCTTCTCTGCTCATAGCTAGACAAGAGAATAAGATATTTAATAAAAGTTAAATGTGGACATTGTAAGAAAGCCATATTTCTTTCTATAAATTCATTACAAAACAATGTTTTTCCTTACAAGTAACTGAATTCAGGATTGATAGCCTCTCTTTCTGGCCCTAAGCAACGTGGAGAAACAGGCAATAGTAATGTCATTGCAGGGTTGCTTACTTCAATGCTGCACCAGCTCTTTATAGAAATGGTTTTCTTCATTTCTTAATCCAGCGCTCTCACACATCACACTTGCAGTGCTACCATAGTAAGTGAAATCTACTCAAGAGTTGTTTATTTTTCAGCATAGTATTGATTTTTAATTACTTATTTTTTTGAAATTATAACTCATGAACTCCTCCAAGTCCCCGTGTACTCCCGTCACTCTTCTTTCAAATTCATGACCTTCTAACAATTAATTGGTATTACATATATATGTATATATACATGTATACATACATACACACACATAAATATATATGTATATATATACATGCATAAGTAGAACACGTTTAGTCTGTTTAATGTAATTTGTATATATGTTTTCAGGGCTGACCACTTGGTATTGGATAATCAATTGGTGTGCTCTACTCTGGGGTAGACCCTCTCCCACATACTCTCAGCATTTTTTAGTTGTGTGGTCCTGTTTTCTAAATATTACATAAAGCATATAAACCTTGCATATGTCTATTCCTAATGAAATATGATTGCTTCCTCCTCCTCTAACTTGCTACCAATTTTAACAGCATGGTTCTTCCATTCCTTTCTGCTAGTTCTGCTGATCTTCCAGCATTTATTAACTTTGCTTCCCCACCTCCTTTAGGAATACCTTCATCCTTCTTCGCATTGTCTTCTGACATTCTTTGACTATAGCTCCTTTCCCTGGATTAGTTTGCCTCCTATACTCCTACAAAACAATAAAGATAATGTCTCACTCTTCCTTCTTTCCTGTCAAATATTCATGATTCCAACAGTTGTTAAATACATTACAAAACGATTAAAGACTGTTCACTATTAGTATCAATAATTAAACAAAATAATTAAGTGATTTAGGAAGAAAGAAAAACTATATTTAAATTTTGGTTTTTCTGCTTTTTAGATGTCAGGAGCTTGAGGAAGTCTTTTATCTTTTGTCTTTATCTGTGAAGGCTCACAGGGCCAAGGTAATAATTAAAGATATTATAATACAATCCTATATGCACATACACACACATGCAATACCTGACATACAGTGAGTAATTATTATGGATTAGTAGCAGGAACTTCCAGTACTGTGTTGAAATACATTTTAACCATCACACATAGGAAACGATTCTATCAGCATTTAAAAGTTTCTGTCCAGTGTTATTTTGACCAGTGCAGGTCCTAAGCAGGTTTGAAAACATATTTCTTTACCTTTTATTTAGGAATTACAGACAAAGTGAAGACATAAAGACATTATTCCAGCAAAAGAAGAAAGGGAAAGGGAAAGAATGGCACTACACCAGAGTGGCATGGTAACAGAACTGAGGGCGCTGCAGGTTTCAGGAAAGCCAGCATCAGAGGAAACCACACAGGCTCTTATGATGAAAAGGTGGACTCAGTGCCAACAGTACTGGTGAGATTAGAAATTACCACCTTCTACGCATGAGGAAGTTTCTAGTCACTTCACTAATCGTTAGCAAAACCCCAGAATTTTATAGGTGTTGTAAATCAAACCTGTACTAAAGTGATTCAAACTTTGCAAGGAAAAAAAGATCCTAAATGTCAAGTACATGCAAGGAAACCTCCACAGAGACATATCAGCAATCACTGAGCATCTCTTCTAAAGATTAAACACCAGACACGCACACACGCACACACACACACACACACACACACACACATACACAAATGCACACACACGCACACATGAGAGAGGGGGGAAGAAAGGGAGAGAGAGAAAGAGAAAGAGAGAGAGTTACACATGGCTTCTAAACTTCTAAATGGCTGAGATGTGTTTCATAAAAGTAAGAAACTCAAAATGGATTGCTTCTGAGGTGAGGAGATAGAAACTATTTTATAACAAGTAGAAGAATCCCTGAAAGCTTAACTAGCAGATTGTCAGAATCATGTGAGAAGTTAGGGTTCTTTTTTATGTCTTCATGTTACTTCCTTCTAATCTTACTTGGACCTTCCTTCTTACCAGGTGTCTTCCTGATTCTCAGTTCATTCCCTTTTCATTTCTCTGTTCTACGTCATTCCCTTGTGACACAAAGAACTGCCTCAGATTAGTATTGCTGGATGCAAATGTTACATTCTCTAGCTGATTTGTTTCATTTGATGGGCTAAGACTTCATTCTTAATTTTACCTACCTGCCTTGAAAATACATTACTTTATACTTAACTTAGTGCTTTCAACTGACTACAGTGCTAAGTGCTTCTGTCACACCTACTTCTGCTGGATGCTAAGCACTTAAGATTTTTAAGCCTTCTGTATAACATTTATTTTGCTCTTGGTAGTGTTCTAAGTAGTTTACATATGAATTCATTTGACTCCATGTGGTAGATATTTACCAAAAGCTCACTGAGGTACAGATCAAGGAATTTATAGTCAGCTATTGTGATGTGAGTTGAAGTCATGTAATTTGGTACCAAAGTTCATTGTTTTAATGCTAAACTATGCTAGAATACTGCTTTTTAAAGGGAAGAATCATGTCTCTATACCACTTCAGAATCAAATCTGATTGTTAACCATTTGCTTTTCCCAGTGCTGGGGATTGACCCCAGGATCTATTGCGTGCTTAGCACACATTTTACTACCGAACTTCTCCTTTTCTACCCACACTACTGTCACCCACTTTTCTTGTTTGGGGAACTATTTCAGGACAGTAGCTCCAGCACTCCAATTTGCATGGTTCAATAGGGAACACAACTTCATGCTCTAAGTTCCTGTTAGGCGAACTTATCTTCCTAGCACGTTTAATCTCTCCCCTCTGATCCAGTGCCACTTGTCCAGTCTGCCTAAAGCTAGACACCGGTCCCATTACATTCCATATCCCTCCTAACTCAGGCTTTAGGAGAAGCCTTCAGACTTTCAAATCATTCCTTAACATGAAAATGTATCCCCACTTGAGCTTGGTACAATCCCTAATTTGACACAGCTGCATGCTCCAACTCATCTTTTGTGTTCCCAGGAACTCGAGCTCCACCTTCAGCGGACTCTCCAGCCTCTTTACTGATCTTTGTCTTTACCTTTTTGCTTTAAATGAACGGCAGAAATACTGCCGTTTCCTCAATTCACTAACTCTAACAATGTCCTCAGAGACGTTACTCTGAACATAGTCTCAAAATACTTTCCTTCTTTATCTGGTTATATGTATTAGCCCAAATCTAACCAATGGGAATTCCATCACACATTAACATGATCTCCTTCAGGTAGCAACCCTTTTATAGTCAAGACACTAGCTATCCTCTTCCCTTCCTCTCATTCTTGAGCCCACCAGAGTCAAGCACGTGCCAGGCCACCTTTGGAGCACCTCTCCGTGGTATCAATGTCCTCCAAGTTTTCACATCCAAAGGACCAAATCAATCTTCCTTTCAATTTAACCTGTTCACAACATGGTGCCTCCTCTGAAACACTGTACTTTCTCTCTTTTGCTGGTTCTGTTCATCTTCCTTGCTTCTAATAGAGTGCCCTGGTGCTTGGTCTTTGCCTACCTCTTTTCTGTTTCTCCTAATACAGTATGCCACCCAGAGATCCAGATAAAGGCTGAGAATTCCTAAATCCACACCTCTACCCTGAATATCCTTCTTGAACTATAGTCAGGCTGGACTTCCTACTTCATATCTCCCCTTGAATTTTGAAGAGGTATTTCAATTTTTAAATTAAACTCTTGGTTTCTTTGTCCCCTTCAGCATCACTACTAAAACTACTCTTTCATAGTTTTCTAAATCCCCATAATTAGAAATTCAATGTTGTTCAGAATCCAAACCCTAGGTTATTATTACAGAAGCCTCCAGAAAGATTTAGAGCTTGGGCAATTTAACTAGACTTGCCAAAGATCAAGGGAGTTAATTGTTGGTGTTCATTGCTCCTTTGGGAAATCCTTAAAGACATTCCACAAGCAGGATGTCCAAGACCAGTGCTTTGCTTGTCTCACCAAGGGACAATGTTGAATCTTGATTCCTTCTTCCTTTAGATGCTGCAATTCTTTCTGTAAAACTTACTGGTCACCTTCAAATTATATTGAAATCCAATCTTCCCTTGCCACTTCCAAATACTATGTTAGCAGGGAATCCTTCCTTACAGCTCTCCCTAAAACAGAACCCTATCCATTCATCCTGTTTCCTTGCTTTGCTCCCTCCTTGCCCCTTTTTCTTTCTCTCTCCATGTATACACACATAAGGGGAGGCAGAGGTAGGTAAATGTTGAGTGGGTATCTTCCCCAATAACTTTCTACAACTCTTTTGTTTTGAAATAGACTCTCTTACTGAACCTGAAACTCACTGGTTTGGCTGGACTGGCTGGACTAGCTGGACTGGCTGAACTGGCTGGCCAGCACACCCCAGGGACTTTCCTGTCTCTGCCTCCTAGTATGATATCACAGGCATATACTACTTTGCCTGGCTTTTTTATGTGGGCTTTTTGGGAACTGACTTATTCCGTCTTTATGTATGCAAACACTTTACTGACACATGTTTCCAACCCTATTTTGCTTAATAGCAGTTATCACCACTGGCATCTTTTACATTTGTTCCTTTTCTATATTCTTCAACCAATGGGAATTTCAAAAGGATAGAGACCTAGAAATGCCTGGCACATACATAGTAAGTTCAGACCTATAATCTATCTATCTCTACTTCACCATGTTTTGAAAGAGTAATGCTACTTGGAACAGTTTTGATAATACCCATATAACAGTCAATCTTTTAAGTCAATTCTAATTCAGATACCATCTTCTTTAAAAATATCTTGCTTGATTTCTTTCTAGTATAACTGTTTCTCTACATACTATGATAGATA